ACTTAAGTCATTTTTGTGCTGTAGAATTTTTATATTCTGGATTTCCCAAGTGTAACTCCCTGGTTTTATTTAATAGGTTCTTCTATCCCTAAACTTGCTGAAACTGGTGGTTAATTCTAGGTACTTGAATTCAGATGATTTGGTGAGGGATGTGGAAAGAACACAGAACACTTAACTGGTGTTAAATGTACTGTGTAGTTTCTGTTGCATTATATTAGATGTTATATCAGGGTTGCCTCTCTTTTGTTTTTTACTTTAAAATATTGATGTACCTTATTGCACACTGCAGAACAGAGCTATCCAGTAGAATATTCATAATGATGGAAATGTTCTTAATACCACTATCTGATTTGGTAGACATGGACTGCAGCTGTAAGAAACTGAATTTTTAATTTTAATAGCCATATGTGACTGCTGGCTGCTATATTGGAAAGTACAGCTATAGGACTTTCAAAAAATGTTAAGTAACAGAGGTAGCAATAGATGTCTCTTTGTTCTTGATTTTAGCCTAAATTCCTATTCCGTTTCATCAGTAAATATGATATCAGGTTTTGTGTGCCTATAATAAATTTGTTATAACTATGTGACCTTAATTTTTCTTAATGGACAGAGATCTAGGGCAGCCCTGCAGAGGTACCTGTTCTACTGTAATCGCTATATGAACCACATGCAGAGTCTCCGCTTTGAGCACAAACTGTATGCTCAGGTGAAGCAGAAAATGGAGGAGATGCAGCAGCACAACATGTCCTGGATTGAGGTGCAGTTCCTGAAGAAAGCAGTTGATGTCCTCTGCCAGTGTCGTGCCACACTCATGTACACTTATGTCTTCGCTTTCTACCTCAAAAAGAATAACCAGTCCATTATCTTTGAGGTAGGAATAGTTACTGAGTGGGTGAAAAAACCACCTGTGTGTCATAGGACTACTTATCTTTTATAGATAAGAGTTTTAAAGATTACTCATTGCCCCCGAATGTGGATCAAAAGTTTAGTGTTTATTAGGAAGGTACAAAAAATTCAGATATCTTGCTGTAAACTACATTCAAATTGGTGTGGTTTAGCCAGCTAGTGATTAAGTGTGCAGGCTCTGGAAGTAGTCTTTAATTTGAATCTTGATTTCATCACTCTTTAGCTCTGTTGACTTGAAGCAAATTACTTAACCTCTTCTATATCTCTGTTTTAGAATGGGGATTATACTTTTCTAGAAATGTTAAGATGTTTAAGTGAGACAGTCCATGTATAATGCTTATGTAACACCAGGCACATCGTAAGTTCTTTCAAAAGTCTATTCAGGTAAAACAAATAACACAGTATTAGAAGTAAATATGGTGCTTGTCTTTTGTGGAGAAGTAGTGACTAAAAGGGGGCTTTCAGCAGTAAAGTTTTTTCAAGTAGAGATGCTCATTTAAAATTTATGCATGCAGTATTGATGTGGATAGATGGCTAGACAGTAACAATGACTAGCAGATTGGAATTTAGATGGGTAAATGTACAGAACTAGCTATATTAGTAACAGATAACAAAATTTTAATTTTCTATACAGTGTTTTCTGATAAGATTAGGTATCTAGCTAGATAGAAAGAATAATGTGTTTCTGTTTGTTCCTTAGGCTTTAGCATAATAGTTTTCAGAGCTAGAAGATTTCCAAGAACGTTTTCTTAAAGTTCTTTCAAATTGTACTTGGTATTCTTCCAGAGGTGATGGATAAATCTTTGGTTCTTTTTATAGTTAAAAAGCTCTTCTGAGAGAAAAAAAGAGAAAACAAATTGTTAGAGGTGGAAGTAATGAAGGACTTTAGAGGTGCAGTTGACTACCTGTGAAAATTGGTGTTGAGTGCAGTCTTATCAAGGAAGCAGCTAAGATGGCTTATCTCTGAGCTTTCTTTTGAAGACAGAATTTACTGTGTGTTCTTCTTCCTCTTGCAGAATAACCAAGCAGATCTAGAGAATGCCACAGAGGTGCTCTCGGGTTACCTCGAACGAGATATTTCCCAAGACTCTCTGCAGGATATAAAGCAGAAAGTACAAGATAAGTACAGATACTGTGAGAGTCGACGAAGGGTTTTGTTACAGCATGTGCATGAAGGCTATGAAAAAGATCTGTGGGAGTACATTGAGGACTGAGAATGGCCCTGCATAAAATGAACTCTGAAAACTTTACCATCTAGAGTGCTCATGCAATTAAAACAAACAAAACAAACACAAACAAGGAGGCACTAAGCCTGTTCTGACACTGCTGGTCTGTAGAACCAGAATTCTGTTTTGTTAACGGAAAGTTTAAGTAAATTATATTGTAATAAAAAAAAGGTAGATAAACCATTGTACAACAGTATTCTAGGCCGCCAACAAAAGTGTGACAGACACACTAAAAGCCCTCCAACTTTAACTTGTAACGTAGCTTCATTCTCAAAGCTGACTCCTTTTTTTTCATTTTCTTTTTCCTGAGTGTAGTACAGTTAAAATTTAAAACAGCTCCTTGACACTGCTTTTCATGTCCAAACCAGCCATTTTGTTGTACTTTGGTAAAGGACCTCTCCCGTTTCTCCCCTACACATACAGATACACCCACACACACAGACTGTCTCTCTCTCATACCCCAAGGTCATGAGTGAATAATGATTAGTTCCTTGTAAAGAAAATTCTTGGGGCAGGAAGAGGGTAGGCAGAAAGAGGAATTAAACAAAAAAACAAAAAAAACTTTGTATATGACTTTTAAAACAAGAGGACAACACAGTATTTTTCAAAATTGTATATAGTGCATATGCATGGACAAAGCAAGCGTGGCACGTGTTTGCATAATGTTTAATTACAAAAAATATTTATTCTTTAAAAATCTTCAAGATTATGTCTATTTGCTGTGCATTTTCTTTCAGTTTGCTTTATCTTTCCAGGGTTGAGGGTTGGGATAAAAGGTGTGTTGGTTTAGCACCTCTGGAAGACCTAACTTGAGTTCTTTGATTTCCGTTTCCTGAAATTACTTTGCCCTTTCTGGTTTTGATGTATTTGTCGCTGGCCCTGGGTCTCATGCCCGGAATTGCCAGCCCCTGGTCGAGCACAGAGGGGTCAAGCTCTGACTAAATGCCGTGGCCTGGTAAGGGCTGCAGCAGGGAGCTTTGCTGCTGCCGCTGAAGAGTGACCCAGTCTCCAACCTCATCCCTCTCCGCAGCCTTGTACATCTACGGAAGCCTTTGTGTGCCCGTGTCAGACACACAGCTGAAGGCTGCCTAGGCTTCCTGTCACATCCAGAGGAAACATTTCAAAAATTTGTCCCTTTAATTGCTGCTTTGAGCCTTTTAAGATTTTTCGTTATGGCTCTTCTCTCACCCCTTCTTTATGTTAGGGTGTCAAATAGGACATTTTTGCTTTAAATATAAATATAAATAAATAGCCATTCACTTAGATTCAGATTGTGAATTAAAAATGGCAGATACTGAAATTGCTTGTGTGTGTTGCTGTGGGTTCAGTTTGAAGGCAAACATCCTAGAACTTGATATTCCCATCTAGTGCATTTAAATAGATATCACTGTTTGCTTCTTTTCTATTTGTCAACAGATAGGAGAATTAATAAGGCGTTTTAGCTGTGATGTCCATTTTTATGAAATTTCTACTAAGAGCTATGTTAAAAGTAAAGGATGGTGGTGGTTTTATTAACTATGTATCTATTTAGGCCATTCTGGCTGTGGTGTTTTTCATCCCTAAATCTGTCCGTTTTATACAGGAGTACGGAGTGAACTAGGCAACTAGATGAGGTCTTAATACTAAGCACCACTTCTGGCTGAAGGACCTCTTTGTCTTCCTCTCAACGTCTTGCGCCTAGGGAGTGTTTACCTTTTGTGAGGCAGCTTTGTCTGCTCTTGCACCATACATCTTACTACTCCATTGGGAAGTAGGTTCACTTTCCTCTGGCCTTTTGCCTAAGTTAGGCTTTGCTAAATCAACCCTACTTTTCCTTTTAGAAAAGGTTGTTACATGAGATGTCCTTGCAACTGTTCTTTTCCCATCAGAAATCAGTGAATGTTTGCTGAGTATATTATGCTGCTTCCTTAAACCACTTGTCGCTCTAGGATCAACTTTACCTATACCTTTTATCCTCCCCTCCCTTGCCACCTCAGGTGCAAGTCTGAACTCAGTGTCTGCTTCTTCCTTATTCTCTTCTCCTTCCCTTTCCCTGTCAACCATTTGATTTTATTTTAAATGACTGCATCAATCTTAAAAGGCATTTATCAAAACTAAGGATTTTTTTTTTTTTTAAGAAAGCTTGAATAAGTTCCTTTCCCTGGTAACTTTGAAAAGCAGCCAGAGTTGCTATCTAGATATATGTGGTCCCCTTAAAATGTTTTGTGTATATGTGGTGTTTTAAGAAATATCTTACATGGTTAACTACAGTATCTAGATTTGAGTGTCATAAATCCTTTTTACACACTCCCCTTACAAGAGGTATCCAGAAACAGTGTGTGCACTTCATAATAACAGTCCCCACCCATGGAAGAACAGTGCTTTTTAGAGCTGTTTTCTAGTTGCAGTGTTGGCATATTTACCTGAGGGTATTGCAGTTGTGGGTGCATTCCCTTATATGTATGGATCAAGATGAATTGGCCTTTTCCAGTTCAAGCTTTTAACAACTATCTCCATATCTGACAGAACTCCCATCAGTTAATCACTTTCATTGTCAATAACTTCAGTGGTCTCAGCTGGGATAGGTCTTAAGCCATATGATATGACGGCTTCCCTGTTTCACATACCTAAGTCTTTCTGTCACAGGGCTCTATTCATGGTCAGCACCAGGGTCTCCCTTGTCTTCTTGAGGTCTTCTGAAAACTGCATGCATCATTTGAACAATTCATTGAGCAGTAGATGGACTTAAATAATTTACAATAAAATTGTTGATCCAAAGCGCAGGACTACAAACCACAGTGGTAAAATTGAGTGGCATATATCATCAGACTCTAAATTCTGTGTAATCCGCTGCAACCCAGATTGTACATGTTTTATGTGTGTTTAAATAAATACATTAAATACACATGTGTATACATATACACAAATATAGCAGATCCAAGACTGACTGACTTGATTTGAAATGGTTGAATCTGCAGTGTAAAATGCAGATGGATCAGCCATGATTAGGAACTGAAATTTAGCATAAGAGAGAAAAGGACTTGATGTACAAAAATCCCGGTATAGAGCACTTGGGGGATGGGGGGGGGGGGGGGGGGTTGGTGAGACAATCAGATTGGTAAATTGATTAAATGCTCCTAACCCTGTAATTTTGTGCATAGAGCACACTGTGCTGTGGAAATAACTGTTCTTAGATTTTCATTGTAACTGGACTGTTCAGGTTGCCCAGAGGGAAAGAACATTCCTAATTCTAATAAAATAAACTTTTATTTTGTTATTTCATTAGTTACTTATGTTTATTTTTATATTAAGAAAAAGACATTGGTGGCCTAAGAGTCACCTATATTATGTGCCTTATTCACTGTTCCTACTTAACATAAAATGTCAAGATTTGGTTTCGTTTCTTTGCAGGGAACTGTGAATGAGACTCTCCCCAACAATAAACTTGGTTAATAAAGCCTTCAGAGCATTTTCTGGAAGCTTTCCAAGTTCTGTGTCTTGAACATTGAACTTAGATTGCTATTCATTTTATAACAGTGATGCTAGATGCTCAGTAGATCTTTGTCAATTTATAGAGATAAAATATTTAAAAGTCATTCTCAGACTGGAAACTCCTTCACATTACTTCCACTTGGTTCACTTTTAGAAGCTGATATCTCCTGCCAGAATGAGGGGAGAGTTGTCTTAAAGAAGGTCCCAAAGTTGAGATCTTTGTCATTAATATTCAAGGCCAGATTTTAGGACAGTTTAATTTGGTCTTATTTGGATTTACAATTATCAGAGTTCCTTTATCACTTATATCTTAAGAACACTTTAACTTGTATCATTGTCTAAAAGAAAGGTAATATTACTCAACAAGATTAAGCAACTTGTCCAAGATTTCACAATTTCTCCTATCTCAAACTTAAGCTTTATTCTTTCTAAGCAGCATCATGCTACCTCTTTGTATCATATTTTGTTAATCTGGTTTCAGAATGACGTAGCATTTGATCCGGAGAGGTGGTTCTTATCTAAACTGTAATGTACTTTTGAACCTATCAAAGACTGTGTAAATACCTGTTACTGTTCCTGTTAGAGGAAGGCTATATGCTACATCTGATCTTTAATTTGCTGTTGCAGGATTTGCAACTCATGTGGCTCTCTGTTTTTCCTCATAAAAATCAGCCATGGATAGAAGAATAACCCTTCCCATCTTGGTGACTGGGACTGGCATCATGAGAAGACTATTACACATGGTAGTTGAGAGTAGAGAGTTCAGCATCATTTGATTTGATAAACAGTGGCCAAGTAATTTGTAGTTGTAGGTCTACTTATTTGTTAAATGAATTTCCAGTGTGAAAATTTTTGCATTGTCCATTGGAACTTGTAGGAGAATTTGTTTTATAACTGAAAATGCACAGAAAAGCATATTTCCATCTGTTTCTCAGCATTTCTCCTGTGGAACCTGTGAAACTTTTCAGAAAATAAGTAGTGAGAATTAGGGGGACACCTTGGCTCATTTAGAAACAGGAAAAAGTGTGAACCCCTCATATTTTTTCAGGGTTCTTTGGGGATAAAGTTGGTGTGTTTCTGGTTCATTTTAAGGAATTTGTTTCTCCACTTAATTACCCAAGATGAAATAGCTAACTTGGAAATGTTCAACCAGAAATAATCAAATAATGCCTACTGCAGGAGCAGAGGCCAGTAGCTTTTATAGTAGTGAAAATAATATGAGATTCTCTTGAAAAACAATTTTTAGACTATGATTAAACTATATATAATGTTTGTTTAGGGCCATTTTCAGAGTGGAAGCCAATTAGAATATAAATTAGTCACATATTGATAACATAGCAGCTCTAACAATGCCAAAAGCACAACTTTATGACCACAGTAATCCATGGGTCTCAAGTGATACCAATACAGGAGTCAAACTCAGATGTCTTACAAGAACCAGGTAAATATTTTAATAGTCTGCCCTGGGCTAAGAGGGCTCTGAGAGGAGCCTCTCAATTTTGAAATGTTGGTTATTAAAATATTCTTAAATATGGGTCAGAGAAGAGCTGCACATGGGCCTATCATTTTCCAACTTGTGTTGCAACTAGAAGTCATTGTTCATTTTACACATTGAAATCACAGATAACTTCAAAAGGACAAGCCAAAAAAAAAAAAACTATGCTTGAGTTCCACCCCATAGAAGTTATTATTTAATTGCTCTGGGTTGTGTCCTGAGCAGTATTAATTTTTAAAGCCACACCCAACCCTGATGCTTGTGCAGTACCGTCTAAGACTCATAGGCAAGGTTGAGTCCATTGATGTAGATACTTAACATAGTTGCCAAGACGAGTATAGCTGAGCACTCTATAGTCAGATGGGACAATAGTGCTTGTGGCAAATTCACAGGCTCAGGAAAGGGCCATGCTGTATGCTCTAGCTGAGTGGGTTTTGTGGAATGCTGCCTCCTAAGTGTCCAGTGTGAAGTGCCCAATTTGTTATTTTTTTGTTGTTGTTACTGGTTTTTTGATAAGGGTACACCTTGGACAAAATAAATTCACGAAACCAAAAGTACTGTAGAACTGACAACCTGAATAGAATATTCACATCAACTGGCAATACATTTTCTTAGTAAGAGAAAGAACCCTGTCTGGAAGTAGAGTGAGCAAAGGATGTTGGTTAAGCTATCTGTTTCAAGTCAACGCACAATTTCATTTAATCAGTTAAATTCAGAGCATTTGAAAGTCACAAGCTTCTTGGCCATTCCTTTTTCATTCTTTGGATCAACTTGTATGTTTTAAGACAGTGTATTTTCTCTTATTTTTATTCCGAGTGTGGTTGGTGCAGTAGAAAGAATATCTGTATTTCTCAGCCACAGTTTTCTCTTTGTAAGATGGGGATACTGGTGGCTCAGACAGTAAAGAATCTGCCTGCAAGGTAGGAGACCTGAGTTTGATCCCTGGGTTGGGAAGATCTCCTGGAGAAGGGAATGGCTACCCACTCCAGTATTCTTACCTGGAGAATCCCATGGACAGAGGCGCCTGGCAGACTACAGTCCATAGGGTTGCAGAGTCAGACATGAGCAGCTAACACTTTTGCTTTCAATAGGAACTATAATTTGAGTGCTTCTTGCCAGATGCCTTACTTAAATTATTTGTAGCTTGGGGGCAGCCCTAAAACAAAGTAGGCATTGCTGTCCTATTTTATGAGAAGAAAGGTGTCAAGACTAGGAATTCAAACTTTACAGCATTTATGGTGGTGTCGTGCTTGTCTGATTCCATGTGTTCATTCCCTCATAATATATATATATTTTTTCCTCATAATATTTTTTATAGGAATGTTGTGAGGATCAAAGAAAATCAGAAAAACAAAGCCTGTTACAACTAATGAGCATACTAGTACTAATTTAGGGAAAAAATAAGGATGCAAAGTTGTCTCATAGACTCCCAGAGCAGGATGAGACTGGATCCAGGAACTAGAAAGCCATTTTGGACTCCTAAAACTGGCATTGTCTGTATAATCTACATCATTCTAAAGGCTTCTGCTTTTCCTCTCCACTACCACCATAGCTCTAGGTGTTACATGTTAACTGTCCCAGACACATGTATAGAAAACCCAACAGACCCTTGGGACATTATGATTGGTACAAATGTGACTTTGGGGGGCTTACCCCTGTGGATGAAGAAGCAGATCTTAGAGATAATGTTTTGCTGGCTGTACATCACAAGTGTCCTCAACAACACCAAAATGCCCTGAAAGTTTTCTTTTTAAATAAATGTAAAGAGTTTGTATATGATAGATACTCATGTCTAACTTATTTCGTGTTTACTAAATGCTTCATGTCCGTGTTTTTGAAACTCAAAATCACATGAGATAGTTACCATCTCCATTTTATAAGTAAGACGATAGAAGCTCAAAGAAGGTGGGTTCTCTCTCTCAGGCCATCTGTTTGTAAGTGGCCGAATGAAGATTGAAACCTAAGGTCCTTCATTCAGCACCAGTAGTGTTGGGAACTGTTTTACCACGGTGAAACAAAGCAGTCTGTCTGAAGCACTTTATCCTGATTCCACGTAGAGATCCCATGGGTTGCTCAAAGTCACCTAGCCAGTTAATGGCAGGTCTGCAGGCACATTTTGACTACTAAATTCATTTCATCACTCTAGCTGCTTCCCAAACAACTTTGCCAAAAATAATTGCTAAACTTATACAGACTAGTTATGGGACTTCAACCTCAGGATACTCAGTGACCAATTCTTTTTGACTTTTCTCTACTCAAAACATGTCTTTTTGTTGTTAACCTGAGATACTCTTAAGAAGGACCCAAAGTATGCCTTTTTCTCTCATTTCAGAGCCACCCTGACATTTTAATGAGAGTTTAAAAACAAGCCTCTCATTTCCCAACCCTCTCCAGAAAGCACATCTCTTACCTATTTTGAGCTGATGATCTGGCTTCTTATGCACAAAGTAACATTTCCTGATTTGATGTCTTCTTTAGCACCAGTATATCCCTCCTCAGGATTCCACCTATGTAAATGTTTGGTATTTACTTTTCAAGCTGCCTGCTCATGGCCATGGAATATTCAAGTTTCTTTCAGAGTGGGAATTTGGAAGGTGATTATAGAGAATTCTCTATGGTAGATAGTTAATTGTCTGGAAAGCTGTCTAGGCTGAAAACTTGCTTCTATAGATTTTAGATTTCTTTCTGATGGTCAAAATTGGTTTCTGTATGCTTAACACCAAAGCAGTGCCCGAGAAACTACTTCAGTGCATGTCCAGTGACAGTTTCTTAGAATTGTGAATCAGGATCTGATTCTCTGGAATCAGTTGGCCGAGGAAGAAAACACACAGTCTCAAGTTTTCTGAGGGACCCTATCCAAAAACATCACTACTTCCTGAATTTCCCAACTTCCTCTGTAGGGAGACTCCTATGTGTACTCCCACCTATGTAGGTCACATAGGTTTCTCAGGGAGTGCCACATAAAATAATTACCAGAATTTAGGAACACCTCTTGTGGATCTACTTGGCAGTAAACATTCTAATAGAATGCTTTAAAATTGTAAGTTCTTGCACCTGCTCTCGAGTCATTTATAATTTAACCAACTGGTCTTCCTGATAAGGGAGTTGTTTGCTTGTTAATAAATTCCTACCATATGATCCTGACTTGTGGTTCGTTTCTCCATGACTAGGGCAAATACTAAAGTGTTTTCTAACAAAGGAGGAAGCATCATCTGCATGTCCAGCTGCTTTGAATAGGAAATAAATTTGTATCCCCAAATCATGTGATTGATTTAGAGTATTGTAAAGGTCATGA